TTAATCTCTGTTGGTGCTCTTATTCAAGACTCAAATTGTACCATGAGATTGTACACTGATGAATGCATTATACAGGATGCCCATGGCAAGAAGATTGGAGCAGCGGAGCTCAAAAATGGATTGTACCATTTGGTCTTTCCTACTGTTTTCCCTTCTATTTGCAATTTAGTTCCCACTGTGAATAAATGTACTCTATGGCATGCTAGACTAGGGCATGCCTCATACACCAAAATCCAATGTTTGCATAAACTTGATCCCATTATACAAATGAATAAAGATCTAGTTTGTGATTGTTGTCATCTTGCCAAGCAGAAAAGATTTCCTTTTCAATCAAGTTTATCTAATTCAGTTGCTTGTTTTGAATTGCTACATATGGATATTTGGGGGCCTTACAAGGTTGCAACTCCTCATGGCCATCATTACTTCTTGACCATAGCAGATCAGTATGGGTTCACTTAATGAAGAGGAAATCTGAGGTCAGAAACTTGGTCACATCCTTCTGTAATCTAGTCAAGAACCAGTTTGACACAAAAGTGAAGTGTATAAGGACAGACAATGGGCTAGAGTTTGATATGATTGATTTCTTTAATAAAGAAGGGATAGTGCATCAAACCTCTTGTACTTACACTCCCCAGCAAAACAGCAGGGTGGAAAGAAAGCATGGTCACCTTTTATGCACAACAAGAGCCCTCAGATTCCAAGCTGGCCTACCAGAACAGTTCTGGGGAGAGTGCATATTACATGCAGCCTACATCATCAATAGGCTACCCTCTGCTGCCATCAATAATCAAGTTCCTTATCAGCTCCTCCTCCACAAAAGTCCTCAATATCAGCATCTAAGGGTCTTTGGATGTCTAGCATTTGCCACTACAGTGGGTCCTAAATCAAAATTTGACCCCAGAGCCAAGAAATGTGTCTTTCTTGGATATGCTAATGGAATCAAAGGGTATAAGCTCTATGATCTACAAGCCAGAAGTTTTTTTTTTTTTTATCTCCAGGGATGTGGTGTTTTATGAACATGTGTTTCCCTTACAACACTTGGATAAACCTGAACAGGAGTTCAATCAAGTTATATTACCTGTTCTGGATGGTGCCCCAGAAGATGATGCAGTGGTTGACACCATGGTGGTTCCACAACCCCCTATCTCAGACAATTCAGTTCTTGAAGGTCCTGAGCTGACAGCTGAATCAAATGAGTGTGATTACCCTCCTGATGACATTACCATTGAGGAGACAACTGAGGCATATAGCCCTCCATCTGAACAGCCAGTTGTTAGGAAATCCATCAGACACAAGCAGGCCCCCACCTATCTAAGGGACTATGTGTGCCACAGTTCTATAGTTAGGACCTCTCCACACAGTCTGCACAAAGTTATAAGCTATGATATGCTTTCACCTTCATTTCAATCCTTTTTAATGAATATTACTTGCACTACTGAGCCAAGGAGTTACAGTGAGGCCGTGAAACATGAATGTTGGAGGAAAGCCATGCATGATGAGATCTCTGCTCTTGAAAATAACAACACATGGACAATTGTTGATCTGCCCCCCTCAAAGAAATCTATAGGCTGCAAATGGGTGTACAAGGTCAAGCATAAACCAGATGGTAGCATTGACAGATATAAAGCTAGACTAGTGGTTAAGGGCTACACACAAACACTTGGGGTGGATTACCTTGATACCTTTAGTCCAGTGGCCAAGGTTACTACAATCAGAACTTTTCTTGCCATTGCTGCAGCTAAGGATTGGCACCTTCATCAAATGGATGTCAACAATGCATTCCTCCATGGAGAATTAGATGAGGAGGTTTATATGCAGGTTCCACTTGGTTTTGAGAAAAGGGATAAGGGCAAGGTGTGCAGACTAAACAAATCTTTATATGGACTCAAACAGGCCAACAGACAATGGAACACTAAGTTGAATTCAGCTCTGCAATCCATGGGGTTTAAACAGTCCTTACCTGACAATTCCTTATTTGTTAAGGGAGAAGGAAGGTCCTTTGTGGCACTATTAGTATATGTAGATGATATAATAGTGGGCAGTGCAGATCTGAATCTGATACAACAGATCAAAATGCAATTGAATGACAACTTAAAAGACCTTGGACCCTTAAAATACTTCCTAGGTTTGGAAGTAGCTAGGCAGAGAAAAGGGATTGCTATATCCCAAAGGAAATATGCCCTTGAGTTATTAACTGATACAGGCTTTGAGGATGCCAAACCAGTTCAGAGTCCCACTTCTCCATCACACAAGCTCAACAAGGGTGAAGGTACTCTGTAGGATGATAACACTCATTACAGAAGAATAGTTGGGAAACTCCTATACTTAACTATCACCAGACCCGACATAAGCTTTGCTACACAACAACTCTCTCAGTTCTTGGATACTCCCACTGACTTACATCTACAAGCAGCTTACAGAGTCCTAAGATATATCAAAGGGGCACCTGGCCAAGGACTCTTTTTCCCAGCCTCATCCAGTTTGCAGTTATCAGCTTTTTCAGACTCAGACTGGGGAGCTGGCTTCTGTGTATTTCTAGGAGGTGCTTTGGTGTCCTGGAAATCTAAGAAGCAAGTTACAGTTTCAAAATCATCATCAGAGGCTGAATATAGAGCCTTAGCAGCCACTACTTGTGAGATACAATGGTTGCTTTATCTGCTGAACGAATTTGGATTGCATGTTGATATCCCTGCAGCTCTTTATTATGACAGTAAGTCAGCAATAGCAATTGCTGAGAACCCTATGTTTCATGAACGCACCAAGCATATTGAATTGGACTGTCACTTAGTTAGAGAAAAACTACAAAAAGGCACCATCAAGCTTCTTCATGTGACCTCTGCAAATCAGCTGGCTGATGTGTTCACTAAAGCTCAGTGCCCGAGCTCTTTCAATGCATATGTGTCCAAGCTTGGATTGTTCAATCTATACAATCCAGCTTGCGGGGGGCTATCAGGAGTCTCGGATGGTTGACAAGTGGAGTCCATCCGTTTACTCTAAAATCTGTTAGAAGCAGTTAGAAGCAGTCTGTTAGAAGCAGTTAGAAGCAGTTCCTTTTCCCTCCTTTTTTCTTAGCTTTGTATAACTGTGCATATAAACTCTTGTACTAAGTCTTCTTGAAATGCAATGAGAATAATCCTTTTGTCTCCCTTTCAGTCGATACTCCCTTCTTCTCTGAATCATCACAGGTATAACGATTGCCACATAACATGGTCCACACTCCACACAATAATTTGCCCTATTTAATTAAATAAATAGGCTTAATCCTGATCTCTTAATAAATAGGCTTGGTTAAAATAAATCAAAATTAGGCCAAGTTGTAGGCACCTTAATATAACCTTTCTTATTTCCACTCCAACATATAACTCATCCACAATCCTTATTCGTTGTAGTCAAGTTTTGATTGCAAATGCATGGTTGACGTCGTGCTGATCTAATCGTTAAAACTTAGAAGGAAGCAAAGTTGCAATTGACAATCTTCCAATTGATAGACATCCTAAATTCATATCTTCCAATTATGTGTCTTACTTTGATGTAAACATCCTAAATTCATATATTTCAACGAATCTTACAGTAGTCAACTCTGATAATTTTTATTTTTATTTTTATTTTTTAGTGTTATCACTTGATCATGAAATTGAATCTATGTGAATATTTTAGTCATTATGTGAATATTCTCGAGCAGTATATTCCAACTCTCTTCTAATGGTCACAATAAATGTACAAATAATATAAAATTTAACAATTATACAAATATATAAAAGAAATTATAATTATATAATTATAATTAAATTTTTAAAATATAAATTATAAATTTTAATAAATTAAAGTGGACCGGCAGACCTAAATCATTTTAATGTGGGCTAATACGACATGACAGAATTAGTATGACAATTTATATCCTACACCACGGTGCGCGTTGCACTGTGCACCCAGATGCAAAACGATGTTGTTTTAATTTTTTTTATTTTTATTTTTTTGAAATTTCCCGCCCCAGTGAATGGCAGTATTTTTTCTTTAAAAAAAAATTCGTTGTTCAAAAATGTACATAATGTTATACTAGAATACACATAATTGTATACATGAATGTACATAATTATATAACAAAATATACATACTCTTTTTAAAAGATAATACACATAATCTAACATAATACATAATAAACATAAACGCTTTCAAAAAAAAAACATAATAAACATAAACTTTTAACATAATACACATCAACTCTTAACATAATACACACAAATTTTCTGATTCGGATGTACATAATTGTATAAAAAGAATGTACATAATTGTATAAAAAATGTACATAATTGTATGAACAAATACACATAATTGTGTGAACAAATACACATAATCACAGCAACTTCCTACCGCGCCTCTCAAAACGACGTCGTTTTGGGAGGCGCGCGGCGCACAGTGCTACGCGCGCCGTGGTGTAGGGTATAACAATTGGAATTAGTATAGACTCATATGAGTTTGAGACGGGTTGACATGACCTGCTTAACATTTCTAAATTAATGTGTGGTGTATATTATTGTATATACATATATACACATATATAAGATAAGAAATCGTAATCATAATATTGTGTGAATAAAAGAATTTAGATATGATTCCGAGCATCTGAATGACTAAAGGAAAGCTACAATACATACAGGCCAAAAGGTATATATAATAATAATATAAATAACTTTAATACTTTCCGAAAAGTCTCTCAATAGAAATTGGAATTCAATGCTCACAGCTATAGAGGGACCGTGGCTTATAAATGACAAAAAGGATGCATAATTATGGCGTTTTACAGACTATATGTAATAGTCTAGTTTGCTTCTAGAGAGGCGTGGGTGAGAAGTGGGTCACAACTCCGGTCAAATGCGTGTAGACTAGTTATCTCCGTCTCAACGTCAGTATCCATTCACATAGGTAGGGATTGAACCTCCAACCTCATATTTAAGGGACAAGGTCCTGAACCATCACACTAATGTGTTGGAAAAAATAACTTAAAATGACATGTTAAATAGCTATTTTGTGATACAATTATCCGTGGAGTCCACTTCCGATTTGAGTCGGGTAAAAGTGGACTCGGATTCTTCGTAGTGAGACAAAGAAATTGATATATTATATGCTCAAAACGGATAATGGGTGAATGAGATATTGAATCTCAAAGTAGACTCATTAAGTTGGAAAAATGAAGGGAAAAGGTAAAGCTTTTGTCCCACATTGACTTGGGAAGAGGATTTGTCCCACTATTTATACAAGAGCTCTTTTTAAACTTATTGAATTGTATAGCATAGAGGCTCTCTCTCGTGCACAGGGGGTTGTAAGCTTGCCAATTTTCGGCAAGCTTAATGATCAAGCGGTACTGTTACATGGGTGGTTTAATGTCCTTACAGATGATAACAGAGCCTAAGTTCGACCCTATCCGCTTGAGTAGATAAGTTTACTTCCATAACTGGGTAACATACGCATAAGTTTCTCATACTTGTTCTTTACCTAACTTCAATTCTTTTAGTTAAAGCACGAGGTAAGGGTGCGAGTAGATAAGTTTACTTCCATAACTGGGTAACATACGCATACCCGGTAAGACTCCTCGCTCTAAGTTCCCGCCAAGGACTTGACGCAGACCGTGACCAAGAGAAGGAAGGCTTGGATGACTGCTAAGGCAAAGCAGTTGAGATGTGGTGGGTGCGTCAGGGCGTGAGGACAGCTCGAGGGAGACAGACTGCAATACTCACACACCTGGGGTTAACTACCATGACCCCCGATTCAAGCAAGTGGCATGCACCTTCCGACAAGTTGCTTTATCTCGGCAAGTACAGGTTACGACTACAACAAACAGGAAAGAGAACTAGGACGCTAATTAATACGGGAAAGTTAAGTAGCAGGTGGACGACATTGTTAGTTAAATCCTTAGGAGCAAGGTAAGTATATCGCGATGTCTTGTGACCCCTTTACCTCAGTTTAAAATATCATCCGCCCTAAAATCTGAGCATCTTGATATCCCTATTTGTTGAAACTCCTACCTCAAATCCCTAATTATTCTTGAAAGCAGTTCACATCCGTTACGCCTTTACTCACCCTTTGTTACACCTAACTTGAGCCCTTGGAAACCTTAAGCTATGGCGAGCATTGGAATCGTTGCCATTACTCTAAGTTTATATTCCCCTCTTTTGGGAAACCCTGTTAAAACCCCTATGACCTTAAGGATCAACCAGGAAGTAGAACAACCGTACAGATCACCAAGTCATCCCGTAATAAAAGACTGCGTTCCAAGAGAGAGAAAGGTGTGTCAGGTGCTCTCCCTGATTTCCAGTAGCGAATCTTTTATTAGCTTGTAAGATTAGCCAGTTTATGGGCACCTAATGTTTATAAGCCATGTTAGGAGGCAATTTAGGAGGGAATAAAAATACAATGTTGTTACACACCGATTGGAGCTAATACAATGTTTATACTTCCACCTCGATTTTTTCACTTTCTTACCCTTTCATGACTCTTGGAACACACCTTTGTGCTCATATGACATCAAATTAAAACACTATCGAATTAGGTTCCAATTTACATGATCTTACAATTAATGCATCCAAATCACCTAAATGACACAAATGGATCAGATAAGCACATACTTAGCTCTTACTTAACATAAAATCATATGAGTTTGATGTCAAATATGCACATAAAAGTAGTAAGAATTAACGCTTATCACACGATCAAACGCTTGCCACTATGCCAAAAAGTTATAGTTAGTAGCAAATGTGCAACTTCATTTATTTATTATTATTTGAAAGTTAAAAAAAAAAAACCAACTAGCAGGTTATTGCATTGTCGCCATTATTGCATAGTGAATTGTGAAAAGGAAGGAGAAAAATGTTGGCATGGGAGGTAGAAACTTGCTCATCTGATTAAGGAGATTAGGATTCTAGCTATCCTAGAAGATTTGTGGTTAAAAATAAAGTTGTCAGAAGATCCGTTGTGTGCATAACGAAATCTCTTAAATCTGGTAAAGCTTTGGCTGGCAACTGTGGCTGAAGAAAGTTGCAAATGATAATGCGAGATTTTAAACGTTATTTTAATTATTTTGTTATAATATTCATAAGAATTACATTCTTCAATATTTTTAGGTTATGTGAATTTCTCAAAATTTTTATATTACATTAAAATATCCAGTGAATCAAACATTCTTTAAAATTTGTGTGTATATAGTCTTTGATGATTGTTTCTTTCTTTATGCTACTGACTCTATTACATTATAGTATTTGTTCTCAACCTAATGAAGCGATCTCATGAGTCATGACCTCCCACATGAGAGAGGTCACTACATGCTATCTGAGTACGAGATGCTTGACAGTTTGTGTTTATTTAATTGTGTTATAGATGATTTTGTAATTTATTATATCGTCCTATATTTATAAGTTATTTAATTCACAATGAATAAATTTCACTTTTAGTCTCTTAATTATTATACATGAATCATATTTGTGTTCTTGACTGTTAAAATTTTTTAATTATGTACATGACTATGTAATTTGTATCACATTTAGTTCTGTCATTTAATTTTCCAGTCAACTATTGTCAAAAATGTTCATTCCGAAATAAGTAAATGCAGTGTTCCTTTTGGAAGTGTTCTTTTCGAAAGAAGCAAATGCAGTGGAATGAGCATTTTCAATAATAGTTAATCAAATCAAAAAATTAGACGGTAGAACTAAATATGATACAAATTATATAATTATGTATCTAATTAGAAAATTTTAATACTCAAGATCAAGTGTAATTAATGTATAATAGTTAAAAGGCAAGTGTGAAAGCAAACTGATTTTCAGCATATATCCACTGTACTGCCCACATTTCAAAGATGGGAAACCCAACAACAGTCGCTATACTTCTAATTTCCTTTTTGACTCTGAGAAAAGGACCATTCAATTTTGGCCGTCCTCTTACTTTTCCTTACTTTTTTTGTAAAAAATCTCGTTTAGTACCTACCAAGTAATAAAACAAAATTCTACAATTTATTTTTGTCTAAAAAAATGTTGTCCCTAGCTTTTCAAATGTTACTATTAAAATGATGTTACAATTCAAATGATTAAAATAAAGGGAATAGAAACTCTTATATGCACATTTTGGTGGCAATCGGATATTTGGATACGTAGAAAGAGTTCGCATTGTACGATTTGATATATTTATATAGAGATTATTTATGTATTAATTAAATGACGAATTTTTCATGAACATATTTAGGTTGAAGTTTAAATTCTAGAGTTACTTCCTAAAAAGGTCATATTATTTCCTTTTGTCAATTTTGGTATCACTTCTATTTTTTCGATGTATCAATAAATAAGAAAAATTTGTAGCAAATCATATGTGACAAATTTAACCAATAAGGTGTTGGTCGCTATGAATCGAACTTGTAACTTTTAGATACGTAAATCATGTTTCACTTTTTCATTCACTTATTTTGGAGCAATATATGAAAATATAATGTCTCAATTCAAGTTATATCCCCGATTTATGTATATTTTTTTCAGTTAATTAATTTTATACATTATGCTAAGAGTTGTACTATACATTTTTTGGACAAAAAATATAATATCTTAGCGTTATAACTTCTGTTATCTTTTCCCATTATGATTACCATGCACATGCCATACATAATATATTTTCTTATATTCTAAAATGGTAATAATGTATGTATAAATTATATATTGAAGTAATTAATATAAGAAATAAGGTTGATTTCATTTAGATTTTAATCAAATGGTACCATACTTATAGTTAGTAATTTATCATATATAAAATTCTTACTTTAATAAAAAATTATACACTATTATTTTTTAAAACTTATTTTAATATAATTAAAATGTCTAACATTGAATATTAATATTAAAAATATGTTTTTGCGCATCGCATATAAAATACTAAGGAGTAGTATTTAGTATATTCACTAATGATACGTTGAGAATATGATGAATAATGTGATAAATGATCTAAAAAAAAAAATTGATAATTATAGTGAAACTAAAATAAAGTTGGGAAAAGTTCATATAGAACACGACTTTAGGGTCTTTAGTGTCATGAAAAGACAACTAAAACACACAACACTCACAAAACAATATTAACCATCAAACATACGAACATTGGAAAAATAGCAATCATGAACCCAAAATGATGCTACGAGAGACTAATATATTATACATAGAACTAATGATAACTACCAAAGCACTTTTGTAGGACAAAAATGCAAATGTACAGAAGTTGCTCAATGTGGAGGTCGGCAACGTGCATGATTGAGAATTGATATTCATGAGGCCGGTGCAAGATAGTCCAACTTAGATCAATTATATTCTTCAATTTCTTATTCATAAGATATATGATTCTCTTGTATATAAAAATATAAAAATTTAATAAAAGATGATGAAAGATTGGTCGGAGTGGAAAACAAGTTTGGCAAGTCTAATGAAGAATATCTAGTTTAAAATTTTTTTAATATGACACATCTTTATAAAGATGAATCTTTTGATCTTAAGTTGTATTAGTAGTTCACTATGTACAACTATAACAATAGGCATTGAATGATTTAATCAATACTTTAATCGAAAGTGTTAAAATACTAACCTGATTCTATGAGAGATTGATGAAGCTTTTAGCCCTTTCTTCTTCACAACTTCTTACTTCAGGTTTGCAGAGTGTTGAATACTTTTTCCTCTGGTCTTTCATGTTAAGTTTTCACGGGTGATAGGATAGGAAATGCTTATACCCTTACATATTGTCTTCCCTACATAACTGATATTCCAATATTGAATATTGGAATTATGGCAATAATGGGCTATAAACCCATACAATTAAATAGGCACTTCATTGAAAGCCAGAGAGAGGGGAATATAACCCCTTGATCTGTTACATATTTTATTCTCATTACCTATCACAATGGGATTTTAATTGTCCAGACCACTTAATACATGAGCCACAATAATATTAGAATAAAATATTCTAACATTCTCCCACTTGGCCCATGTGTATCAATGATGGACTAGGATAACTTTAATCTGCGAAATATCCCAAAACATCAAGGAACTTTAA